TGAGACCCTCACATTATTAAGTGTTTTACAAATTCTAGGGGGAAAAAGGGGAGGACATATGGACTTCATATTACATTTTGAATGAATGTTGGCGGTGGGTAGATGAAAGGGAGAGTCATGTTTCATGGGCTTTGGAACACTGTAGAATATCAATATCCAAATGAATGACCTTACACACATGTGAATATGAGAAGCAACAATTGGCCACAGTGTGTTTAAAACAACAAAAGGAAGAAAGAAAGGAAGAAAGAAAGAAAGAAAGAAAAGAAAGAAATGGAGGAAGGAAGAAAGAATGAAAGAAAGAAACAAGTAAATAAATAAATGTGGTATTATTGCTCAAGGTAGTTATTTGAATATTGTCTCCATGATTTAGTGGTGTGGGTCTATATATATAGATACCTAGATGACTGGTTCCCTGGAATATGTGAAACAAAAGGTTCCATTCCAACATGAAAATGATTTGGAGAGGATAATGGAGGTGGATCTGACTACAGTTCACATTTTATGAATTCTGTTACTCTAGCGAACCCATACTAATACATATAGTATGTTTGTACAAATTGTGATAAAGTGTCTTGCAAAGCTTCTTGTGAAATCACAATATCTGTTAATTTCAATAATGATAATCTAATGTCATCATTTTGTTTAGATTAGTTATAAACATGATACTCAACTAAAATATGCTGCTATCTTTATCGCATTATGAGTTATATTTAAAAAATTCACCATTTAATTTTGAGATACTAAAAGGATGTCCCTCAGCCAGGCAGTGGTTGCGCACACCTGTAATTCCAGCACTTGGGAAATCAAATAACCTGCTGGGGACCAGTCTCAGCAGTTTCAGGGGTCAGAAGGATGTGATACCTGGTTTTTACAGTAAAAACTCAGAGACAGTCCTTGTGCATGCTGACAGGACATTTCGGGGTTCTGCAGTTGCTAAGTAGCTTCTTTGTTACACTTTCTTTTGCTTCTTCTAACCTCAGTCTTTTATTATAATAAATAAGTGGAAATGGAAAGAAAAGGGGAAATCACTCAATACAGAATGTTCTCATGATTCCAAAGGTTATTCTTAGAAAATCACCAATATATTTTTCATCATCTGTTCCTAAACACAGTATCCATCCCAGACTTAACACCAAAGCAAGCATAATCTATTTTCATTATTAATGATTATACAATCCTCTGAGTACTTGACCCAGAGCAAGGAACATGCAATTTCATAAAAAGGTTAATAATAAGAACAGTGGTCAATGTACCAGAGAGTCATTTACTTCTCACACATCCTGCTCCGACCTCAAGACAATTGTAGCCTCCTAAGTTCCTCCTCAGCCCTCTGCAAACAACAAGACCCATGACTGGTGGGCCACAATGACCTAAGACTGGATATCTGTCACTGCATTTCAGCAAATTCTGTCCTTCTATATCCTAGCAATTCCAAGAAAGACCTGATCCAATTTTCAGCGCTTCCGTGAAAGGAAGTTCACCTTTCTTGTCAGCTGTTTTTAATCTAGGAACCCAATAGAACTTGTAGTAATCACTCCATCAATTGTCACATTGTCTCCACACGCCTTCAGGAGGAATCAAAAATATCAGTATTAAAGTTGCAATCTCCCTTTCTTGTAGAAGGCCACTATTTTCCTCCTGTTCTAGGTTCCCACAAGTCTAGTTTGTCATCCCATCTGTGTTACTCCATCCACAGTATTCAGTCAATACCCTTTAGGGTCTGAAGATTTACACAATGCCCTTGGAATATCCTCAGAAACTGAATTATTCATCATGGTCTATTTGAGTCCAGTGTGTTGACCACACATTCAGTACAGTTTATCCAAGCCTGAAAAGCTTCCCCAGGCTGCAGGTTCTTTCCCCTGACCTGCATAACTGCCTTAACCCCAGCCTGGGTGATGATCTCTGTATAATTTCCAGTGAAATTTACTTCACTCCTTTCCTGTATCACAGAAATCACCATTGATCTAGGAACACAGAACAGGAAGATCACATAGAAGAAAAAGACCAGCATTACAAGAAGTATTTATATGGAGGAGGACATGACATGTGCACACCATAAAGCATGACCTTGGCACACTTAGGCATTTCTGCAATGGCGCTCTAGAGGCGAGCTAAGCAGAGGATCTGGAGGGGAACACATGGAGCGATTTAAAATAGAACAAGGAAGGGTACATGGGAGGGTTTGGATAGAAGACAGGGTACGAAGAAATTATGTCACTATATTATAATCTCAAAAAATTAGAGAAATATATTTTAATAAAAGCGAAACATAGAAACAGCAAAAAAAAATTTCTCTAATTCAACTGGAGTCAAATGAAAATAAAGTGAATCCTGAAGACATAGTGATAAACTGATATATCTGGTTACCACTTGACCCTCATCAGAAATTTCATCTCGTATTAATTGAGAATTAACAAAATGATATGCAGGAAACTCTTCTATATACCCTTAGAGGCTTTGGGTAAATATGTTATGATGTTTAATGCCTTCTTCATATAGCTGAACTAAAGCCTCCTGTATCTGTGTTGAAAAAGTACCAAAAATATTCTAAAAGATTCAGAGCTGGGGGATCATTCCTTAATGACCATGTTTTACAATCTCAACTTTCCTATCTGTCATAGAAATTCAGAATGTGAGTTTTCAGACACAAGAAGAGGCATTCAAATTTACTAAATGTATGAAAATATCAGATACAAGAAGAAAGAAATCTTGGCTCATAATTACTCTCAAGGGAAGCATGTAATACCTGACTATCACTAGAAATAAATATCTGATTTCCAACAAAGTTCATGTCTTACCTGTCATCATAGAGAGAAATGGGCTGACCAGGGAAAAAAAATTAATGACCAAGATTTCGTATGTGTCAAAAGGAATTGACAATGCCCACCAACATTCGAAAGTTGTACCTGAGTCCCTAAATGGCAAAAGGATTATAAGAAGTAAATTTCATGTGTTATTCTTTATTGTCCACCCAGAGACTCTAGTAACAGAAAGGCTATTGTTTGGAATAGTTACTGCTTGATAATTTCAGTGAATCTAGGTAACTGATTAAAGTGACAATACTATAGCTATTCCCATAGTGGATCTCCCTGGGATAGAAAAGAGCAGAACTCTCTTTTCCTGCCCCAGTTAGTAACGCCTGAATTGGATTATTTCCCTTGCTCATAATGCAGCACTTTTCGACTGAGACTGGGATGTCACATCTTTAAAGAGAAGCTGTAGCTTCAGAAGCAGAATCATACTCGCTGCACAGGTGACAGGATCAGGGGACTCAAAGCTGTACTCCTGGAAAGCAAACAATCCTGACTTTGCTAAACTGAATGAGATCTGTCTCCTGTGATGTTAGGAGCAGTCTGTCATTTCTGGGCCAGTAAAGAGTCAATCTTTGATTATACCCAGGACCAACTGTGTCCTGGAGTATAGCCTGAGCCTGACTGGTAAAAAGCCACACCTTGGACACTTTTATTAACAATCCTTGCCAATGATTAAAGGACTGTGTGCATTCAAATTGAGCCTGGGATAAGAACCCTTAAGGACAATGATCACAGTTCCAGCTAAGGAGGCAAATCTTGTGGTAACCTTGGAGATCTCCATTATAGTTGCTGATTCATTTCTCCCTCACTCCCACTTAAATGTCCGTGTGCTGCCACTGAAGTAGCGAAATTGAAAGTGCGTAAGAGAAAAAAAAAACACGCAATTTACTCTGGTCTCTGCCTCCAATTATCAGAAAAAGAATAGCAGAAAACAGAAAAACAGCCTGTGCGAACAAGGGCTTTGTGTTTGTTGCTTGGGCCAAATTCCTGGCTACATACAAGCAACCCTCTCTTTCTGCCTGCTGCTGGCTGATTGTGATTCTGTGCTGTGGATTGCAGCTTGCTGCTGACAGTTTCCAATATGTCATGTCATTTCCTCTATTGCATTGAGAGATTCTTGAATTATGCCACTCCAATAAATATAGTTCTGAAATATATATATATATATGTATATATATATATATATATATATACAAGAATGATCAAAATAAGATGCTACTTTTGTAAAGAGTAATGGTACATTTAGCATATTCTGAACATAGGCATTTTGGATATGCTATCATACTGTGTCCTCATGATTATGTAATATTTTGAGGTCTTTGTATTATATTCATAATCCTTATATACTATTTACACTTTCTCCTTTGTATGTAGGCATTTATCTGTGCTTCCCCATATATCTGCATACATGTAGCATTCATTTTGGATTAAAAGTCCCATAAATTCTCACAAAATACTTTGCTCATTATTCATATGCAAATATAGATATTTTGAAAATATTCAAAAATTATTTGCATTTCCCCCAGTAGAATTCTGCTTTAAACATTATTATCAGTATTCTGTCCTTAGATCACATAGTTACTCTCTTTTGAATGATATCTGAGATCTGGGAAAGCCCCTGTGTTTTCTTTTCTGTGGGGCCACCAATTAGAACATGAACAGACTCTCAAAGCTACATGCGAAATCCTGCCTTTCCATTGTCATCACCACATTAAATATTATAGGCCACTCTGACAATATTTGTTTAATGATCTTTCTTCAGCATGTAGTAGAACATTGGTTTGCTTCATAAAGAAACAGTTTTGTATGCATACTCAGCTGATACAATGGTGCTTAAAAATCCATCAAATATCAGTTGCATGCACAGGAGTATTACCAATGTTAGACTGACATTGTGTTTCATACAAGGAGAGAATTTGCCAAACACGTTACCCAAGCTGGCCAGGAAAACTTCATGATATTACTCACATGACATATGCCTCGGGTTTTTCTTTGGATGGTGTTGTCGGTATGCCTAATTTTTCATACGCACACACACACACACACACACACACACACACACACAAACACACACACACACACACACACACACACACACATATATATATATATATACACATATATACATATACATATATATTCTGGAATTAGAAAGCAGGGAATCATCTTTCCAAGCAATCAGATGGTGATGGACTCTTCTACTAGGCTTTGTTTATTAGAAGCAAGTAAGCAATATATAACATAGGAGATATTTGTCAAAAAACACACAGATTTTCCCTAATCCAAGCACCTACTCGTCATCTTTCCATATTTATGAATCAGTGCTTGTACTCACTTAGGTTCAAGATTTTATTTTGGAATGGTTAAATAAAATTTAAGCATAAACCAGTGCATCTGTTTTTTCTTTTAATCACAACACATACTAAAAGTGATCAATGGTGAGGAATCTCCTCTAAAGAAAACTTCTAAATTCCTTTAAATTACACTTGATCATCGTTCTTATTGAACATTTGTTTTTAAACTAATTTTTACCTTGTTTTGTTCTTTGAAACAGGATCGTGAACCACTAATATAGATATTATTTTACTCTTCTTCATCATATGCTGTTCATAGAGAAATCACAGCTAACACATTGAAAAACATCATGGCAGACTTGATAAATGTACCACCTTCAAATGTAAAAGCTTGTTAGGACTTAGCATATCCTAGGTTATTATATCCTTGTTTCCCACAGACATGACTGATTATTTCAATTTTTTAGATTAAAAGAAACATATATCATTGAAATGATGAAAAATAATGCCCCGTGTATTAACCTAGCCTGATACATGAGGCTAAGAAATAGGGAACCCAGAGGCACTCCTTCTTTGGCAACATCTCTGAAGGTATGTCATTTCAAACAGTTTTCTCTGTATCTATCCTTATACCCACAGGCAACTTTAGTTATAAGTCTCCAAAAAAGACATCATTTTACAACACTATTACAAAATTCCACACCTGCAGAAACGGCTATGTATTTACATTGTCATGTCTACGGCCACCTGATAAATCCACACAACTCAACATTTTTCATGGGCAAAAAAGATAAATATTTATTGAGAACAAATCTGAACATCTGGTCTTACATTCTAAGCCACAAGAAAATAGCAAAACTGCAAAGAGAAGACAAAAACTGAAAAAAGCAGCTTACTGTCTTTCACTTTAACTTGGTAACACTTAGTTGACCCAGGCCCTATCCCTTGGCCTGTTTCCCCAAGAACATTTTCCAGTTTACAGCTCACTCATGCTTTTGGGTTAAAACCACCTGTCTTTTGAGCGGCAGAGGTCAGAGGTTTCAGATGTGCTCTCTCTCTAACTTCTCTGGGGTTCCTAGTAGATGAGGCAGAGGTGTAAATGTAAAAGTCTGGCAAGTTTCTTTCCTGAGCACAACCATTTCTCACTGCTGACATTGACAGTGGAACATTTAAGATGTGGTACTCACTCCAAGGACTGATGCATGCATGCAGCTTGGAGTGTGTTCGCTGGTCCTTTCCTTAGGTCCCTTAATATGAAGTGGCAAGACAAGCTTCTCCTTCTGTTCTTTCAGGGGATGGTGTCTCAGCTTCATGCTGGGACCATCAGCCTGGAGAGAGACTTACTTGGCCCACCATTGTTGAGGAGACTGTTGTGAAGTGTGAGAGGTAGTGGGATGAGCACCAGGCATGGGGACAGTGGACTCTACTGTGGACAGTCTGAGGCACCACACCGCTGTTTACTTTGACCCAGTCATTTAACTTCGGATTCATTTCATCTGCTGGAAAACCAAGGAGTTAATTTAAAACATCCTTCAGGGAGGCAGAAGTGAGAGGATCACTGTCAGTTTGAAGCCAGCCTGGTCCAGGTATGCTGCCAGTACCAAACCAGTCAGGGCTACACAGTGAGAATCAATACACAAAATCAATACACAAAATCAATACACAAAACAGAAGCAAGCTCCCCCAAAGAAAATGCAACAAAAACGACCTCTTGGGTCTTTCCCAGCAAAATTGCCTAGGCTCCACGATCCTACAGATATAAAGCTTCTGAGTCACAATAAGCTGTCACAAAGGAGATAGTTTTAAATGGTTCCAGAGGGCCTTAGCCACTTTTCAGAGCTTATTCGGATTACACACTTCCAGCAACACGGTTTTCACAAATTTTCATATCACATAGAAGCCACAAATGAAAAGATCCCAGCGGAGAGCTGCACAAGGTAGGCACTCTAGACAGAGCTAGTCGACGACATTTTCAATTCAATAAACACTTGGTTGAATGTCTATCCCGCGTTGGGCCCTGTACCCAGGGCATAAAAATGAGCAAGGCAGCCCGAAGGGCAAACATCTTCTGATGAGACGTGGATGAAGAGGGACTTAGTAAATTTACAGAGGCAGACAGGGTGTTGAAGAAAGTACCAAAACTAATGTAAAACAGAAGAAAAAAGGTGGTGGTGGTGGTGGTGGGGGGGGGACAGGCAACATATCTCATCTGCACACTACAGTTCTGAATAGTTCTTTTTAAACAGGATGAAAAGGAGCACACGTGGTTTTAAAAGGCATAGAGAGAATGTCTCTGTTAAGTTTTAGAAATATCTCCGTCGAAAAAGAGAAAAATGGTCTTAAAAAAAAAGTTTTGGCACTTAAGAAGGGTAACATGGCTGTGTGTTCACCCCGGCAGGCAGGCACACATTCAGCGCCCCGCCACGCCTGTGAGGTGATCTGCCACGGAATTTTGAGCTGCTTTGGGACACTGGGCAAACACGTGTCCTCTCTTGCCACAGAGGTTGCACATGATGACCTTCCTGCAGTAAGGGCTCTTGTGCCCCTCTTCCCCACACCTGTAACACCTGTCCTGCGTGCAGGTGCCAGTCATGTGGTTCTGAGAACCACATTTGAAGCAGGTCTTGGGCTGCCCCTTGTACCAACTGTAGCCCCTCTCTGTTCCCAAGAAGAAGGCCCCAGGCAGGTGCCTCAGTCCGCCCTCCCCCTGGCGCAGCTCGATCTCGCACTTGTACTCCCCAGTCCAGATCCCAAACCTGTCAGTCACTTTCATTGGCAAGGCCAGCACATCGCAGTGGCGCTTGAGCCAGGTCACGATGTCCTCCACATTCACGGTCTCATTCTGGAAGAGGATGAAGAGGGTCTTCAAGCTGGACTTGCTCCGCCCCAACACCACAAAGTTCTCCCAGCAGTCGTCCAGCTCCCGCTTTTCCTCATAGATGCGGAGAAACCGGGCAAGCTTGTCTGCAGATCTGAAGCTCACATCGAACTCGCAGCTGCCGGGGATCTGGATGACAGCATAGATGTCCCCGGGGTCCATGCCGATGGAGCGCAGGATGAGCGCACCCACCACGAAATCCCGGGTCGGACAGGCACTCTCTTCTCCCTGGAAACAGATGCGCACAAGGAAGCGGCCCTTACCCGGCCTGGCGGCTGGAGGCTCATCCTGGAGTGGGCGCCCTGCAGTTGCGTCTTTGGTCGCGCCAGGCCTGGCAGGGGACGCCATGGCCGCCGCCGCCACCGCCACCTGGGCCATCTTCCTCTGATTCGCGTCTCCAGCTCCCTTCATCCTGCAAGCTTCTGCCGCGTAGCCCGCAGGGTCTCTCCCGCAGCCCCTTGGGTCCCCGCGGCCGGCAGGTGGGAAGTTGCCGGGGTTCGGAGCGGCCAGGCCCGCGGGGCTGCCCAGCCTGCCGCCTGCACCTCTGCCCCTCTCTTCTGCCCGCCACTGCTCGCGGAAGTCGTGCTTCTTCTCCGCCAGGTTCTTTACTACCTGCGCCCAGCCCATCTTCTCTCCTGTGCCCTGGGCTTCCTCAGCCTGGGCCATAGGCTGCGCGGGGAGCGGCATCTGCAGCCGGCCCCGCTGCAGATCCTCCGCGGCTCTGCCACCTGTCGCCATCTTGCCTCTTGTCAGATGAAAATCTGGGTTTTTTCAAAAGTAATTTTTACATTGTTATGTGCTTAGAAATAGTCCCCTGGACCATTAGTATAGTTATTATTTTACTCATCATCATCATGATGGACTGTTCATATCAAAATCACAGCTAACACAACTGATGATTGTACCACCGCATTTAAATATAAAGCTTATCAGGACTTAGAATATCCTAGGGCATTATATCCTTGTTTCCCGCAGACATGACTGAATATTTCATTTATTTTTTATTAAAAGAATCACATACCACTTAAATGAGGAAAACTAATTCCCAATGCATTAACCTGGTCTGATACATAAAGTCTAAGAATTAGTGAACCCAGAGGCACTCCTTCTTTGGCAACGTCTCTGAAGGCATGTCATTTCGAACAGTTTTCTATATATCCTTATATCCACAGGCAACTTTAGTTTTAAATCCCCAAAAAGACATCATTTTACAGCATTAGTACAAAATTCCATACCTGGACATATTGCTATGTACTTACAATGTCATGTCTACAGCCACCAGATAAATCCACACAACTCAACATGTTTTCTGGGCAAAGAAAGTGTGGTACTCAATGCTAAGATGTAATTTAACATCCTAAGGAACAGGATTCCTCCTGTGGAAAAATTGTCTTCTAAGAAGGATACCAAATTTCAAAGCCCAATGTTTAGAAAATATGAATATCAACCAAAAATATAATCCAAAGTAAAGAAATACCCAATCAAGGGTAGCAGCATGACAACACACATCTGCATGTCAGTGTGTAGTGGAAATTCTCTAGGCTTGACACACTAAGCCGAAAAGGTAAGAAGAAAAGTTGGATGCTAAGATAGATAGATACAGGTTATTTAAAAATGACATTGTGAGGCCTTTCAATTTCAAAGGTCAAAAATAAAAATATTCATTAATTATCTCCACATTCTCTACCATGCATCATCTAGTTCTGACTGTATTTGTGCATGTATGAAAAAATATAAATTCACTAAGAAGTAGTATTTCTTTTGGAATATCCTGGAGCAGACATGGTACTGCAGGAGGAATAATATAGAAGAGTGGAATTGTATAAATACAGTACACATGTGAGATTTGCTCATCTACATCAAAGATGCATACACATGTATGCATATGTATTTTGATACATACATATATATTTCTACCTCGAAATGTGTGTCAGAAGGAGGCACATATACATGCACATACAAAACCATTTATACATACATGAATGTAATTGATACTGTTAAAAACATACCATGGAGATATTGTGACAACTGCACATCTTAGACCAAGAAAGGGAATCAGAGTTTTCTCTCAGGTGTCAGTAAAGAGTTATTTGGTTATCTTCTTGGCCAAGGGGCCTCCCATAATCTCCCCCTATTGATTCACAACCATTTCCAAACCAGGGTTATACCTCCTAATATGATGGTGATAAACTGTTATTGAATTTCCTACATACTTTATTCATCACAGAGCTGATATCCAATGGCACCTCATTAGAAGCTTCAATGGGAGTGACTACATGTGATAGGAATCAAAATAACTCCAGCAAGATCAAAATGTCTCATATTCATTAGCTACATGCCAAAATACAGCACATGTAGAGAAGTCTGCTCTTTTCCTACTTTTGCCATAGTGCCTATTTATAATAGGAGTAATCAATTACTTGCAAGGTGATAAGATATTATTGAAGATCCTACATACTTAGTTCATCATCAAACAGATATCCACAGGGTACCTCATAAGAAGCTTCAGTGGGTATGACTACATGGAATAGGAATAAAAAAAAACCAAACTACTCTGATATAACTCCAGGGAGATCAAAATGTCACATGTTCATGAGCTACATGCCACAAAATAGCATTTATAGTCATCTCCTTTTTCCCTCTTTTGTCATAGTGGTCTATTTATAATAGGAGTAATCAATTACTTGCAAGGATTATGATTCATTCCATGAGGTGAATAAATGCTCTACACTCATAAATGTACCAAGAACCTGAGGCTAAAATTGTCTGAGAACTATAAAAATTATTCTCTCATTCCACTGTAGTCAAATTGAAATAAAGTGAGTCCTGAATACAAAGTGAAAACCTGATAGATCTGGTAAATCATGACCCTCATCAGAGAAACTTCGTCTCGTATTAATAGGGAATTAACAAAATGATATGCAAGAGACTCTTTATATAGACCCTTACCGGCTTTGGATAACTATGCTATGATGTTTAATTTCTTTTTTATATAGCTGAACTGCTGTGGGATGGTCTGTATATCAAATGTGTTGCTGATTGGTCAATGAATAAATCACTGATTGGTCAGTGGCCAGGCAGGAAGTATAGGCGGGACTAACAGAGAGGAGAATTGAGAGAACAGGGAGCTGGGTGAGGGAGACACTGCCAGCTGCCATCAGGACAAGGAAGATGTAAAGTACCAGTAAGCCACAAGCCACGTGGCAAGGTATAAATTAATAGAAATGGATTAATTTAAGCTGTAAGAACAGTTAGCAAGCAGCCTGCCACGGCCATACAGTTTGTAACCAACATAAGTCTCTGTGTTTATTTGGTTGGGTCTGAGTAGCTGTGGAACTGGCGGGTGTCAGAGATTTGTCCTGACTGTGGGCCAGGCAGGAAAACTCTAGCTACACTGAACAAAAGCCTCCTGTATCTGTGTTGAAAAGTACCAAAAATATTCTAAAAGATTCAGAGCTGGGGGATCATTCCTTAATGACCATGTTTCATAATCTCAACTATCCTCTCTGTCAGAGAAATTCAGAATGTGAGTTTTCAGACACAAGATAAGGAGTTCACAGGTACTAAACATATGAAAATACCAAATACAAGAAGGAAAAATCTGGGGTCTTAATAACTTTCAAGGGAACAATGTCGCAGAGGAATACCTGACTGTCACTAGAAATCAATAACTGATTTCCAACAAAGTTCATGCCTTGCATGATGTCATAGAAAAGAATGGGCTGACCAGGAAAAAAAGTCATGACCAAGATTTCGTATGTGTCAAAAGGAATTGACAATGCCCACCAACATTCAAAAGTTGTAACTCTGAGTCCCTAAATGGCCAAAGGATTATAACGAGTACATTTCATGTGCTCTTCTTTATTGTCCACCCAGAGACTCTAGTGACAGAAAGGCTAGTGTCTGGAAGAGTTATTGCTTGATACTTTCAATGACTCTATTTAACTGGAAAAAAAGTGACAGTACCATAGCTATTCCCACAGTGGATATCCCTGCCATTGGAAAGAGCAGAACTCTCTTTTCCTGCCCCAGTTAATAAAGCCTGAATTGGATGATCTTCCTTGTTTATACTGTAGCACTTTTCGACTGAGACTGGGATGGCACATCTTTAAAGAGAAGTTGTAGCTTCAGAAGCAGGATCCCACTCGCTGCACAGGTGACAGGATCAGGGAACTCAAAGCTGTGATCCTGGGAATCAAACAATCCTGACCTTGCTAAACTGAATGGGCTCTGTCTCCTGTAGATGTCAGGAGCAATATGTCATTTCTGGGCCAATATAGAGTCAAGCTTTGGTTATACCCAGCACCAACTGTGTCCTGGACTATAGACTGAGCCTGACTAGTAAGAAGACAGACCTTGGACACTCTTATTAGCACTCCTTGCCACTGATTGAAGTACTGTGTGCACTCAAATTGAGCCCAGGATAAGAACCAATAAGGACAATGATCTCAGTTCCACCAAAGGAGGCAAATCCTGTGGTAACCTTGGAGATTCGCATCAGAGATGCTGATTCATTTCTCCCTCACTCCCACTTAAATGTCCGTGTGCTGGCACTGAAGCAGTGAAATTGAAAGTGCTCAATAGAAAAAACATGCAATTTACTCTGGTCTCTGCCTCCAATTATCAGAAAAAACAACAAACGAGCAAACAAACAAAAAACAACAACAAAAAAAAACCAGCCTGTGACAACTAGGAAGTAATCATGTATCAGTTGCGTGGGCCTAATTCCTGGCTACATACAAGCAACCCTCCCTTTCTGCCTGCTACTGGCTGATTGTGATTCTGTGCTGTGGATTGCAGCTTGCTGCTGACAGTTTCAGATATGTCATGTCATTTCCTCTACTGCAGTGATAGATTCTTGAGTTAAACCATTCCAATAAATATATTTCTCATATATATATATATGTGTGTGTGTGTGTGTGTGTGTGTGTGTGTGTGTGTGTGTGTGTTTGTGTGTGTGTGTACAAATACGACATAAACAAGATTCTACTTGCTGTGGGATGTTCTTTATGTTCAATGTGTTGCTCTGATTGGTTAACAAATAAAACACTGATTGGCCAGTATCAGACAAAAAGTGTAGATGGGACAAGGAGAGAGGAGAATTCTAGAAAATGAAAGGCTGAAGTAGAGAGACGCTGTCAGCCACCGCCATGAGAAGATGTTAAGATATCGATAAGCCACAAGCCATGTGGCAACGTATAGACTAATAAACATGGGTTAATTTAAGATATAAAAACTAGATAACAAAAAGCCTGCCATGGCCATACAATTTGTAGACAATATAAGCGTCTCTGTGTTTATTTTATAAATGAGCTATGAGACTGCAGGGCTTGATGGGACCTGGAGAAAATAACTCCAACTACAGCTAGTTTTGTAAATAGTAATGGTATATTTAGCCATATTCCCAACATAGGCTATTTGTATATGCTATCTTACTGTGTCCTATATGATTATGTCATATTTTGAGATTTTTGTATTATAGTGTAATATTCATAATCTTTATGTACTTATTACACTATCTCCTTGGTGTGTGTGCATTTATATGTGGTTTCACATATGTCTGCATGCCTGTAGCATTCACTTTGGATTCCAAGTTCCATAATTATTCAAAAAATACTTCATATACAAATACAGATATTTTGAAAATACTCAAAAATTCTTTGCATTTTCTCTAGAAGAATTCTGCTTTAATAATCTTTATCAGTATTCTGTCCTTAGTTCATATAATTACTATCTTTTGGGTGACATTTGAGTTCAGGGAAAGCCCTCTGTTTTCTTTTATGTGTTGCCATCGATTAGAACATGGACAGACACTCAAAACTAGCATACTTGCAAAATTCTGCCTTTTCCTCTTCATCAGCTCATTAAATATTATAGGCCATTCTGACAGTATTTGTTTAATGATCCTTCTTCAGCGTGTAGTAGAATATTGATTTGATTCATAATAAAATAATTATGTATGCACACTCAGCTAATACAAGGGTGCTAAAAGGTCCATCAAATATTAGTTCCACGCACAGGTGTATTAGCATTGTCCAATTGACAAAATGTTTCACACAAGCAGAGAATTTGCCAAACGTGTTACCCAAGCTGGGCAGGAAAACTCCATGAGATTACTCATACTGCATGTGCTCATGTCCTGTGATTGGATGGTGATGCCTGTATGCCTGATTTTTCATATATGTATTCTGGAATTAGAACCCAGGTAATTATATTTTCTAGGAGCCAGTTTGCTGATGGAGCTTGCTCCTGGGCTTTGCTTATTAGAAGCTAGTAAACAAATATAACATAAGGGATATATGTCAGAGAACACACAGATGTTTCCTAATGTAAGCAACTATTTGACATGTTTCCATATCTATGAATTGGTGCTTGCACTCACTCAGTTTCAACACTTGATTTTGGAATGTTTAAATAAAACCTAAGCATATATCAAGTGTATCTGCTGTTTTGTTTTCTTTTTTTTTTAAATCACAATACATATTGAATGTGAACAATGCTGAGGAGTCTCTTGTAAGTAAAACCTCAGAATTCTATTAAAATACATTTGGTCATCATTCTTCTTGAAAATCAGATATTTATAAGTAATTATTACATTGTTATGTCCTTAGAAACAGTCACCTTAACCATTAATATAGCTATTATTTTACTCATCTTCATCATGTGCTGTTTAAAACAAAATTACTGATAACACAACTGAAAATATCAAGGCAGACAATGATTGTACCACCTCCATCAAATGAAAAAGCTTACCAGGACTTAGCATACCCTATTGAATTATATCCTTGTTTCTCAGAGACATGACTGAATATTTCAATCTTTTTTGATTAAACGAAACATATATCATTTAAATGAGAAAAAATGATTTCCAATATATTAACCTAGCCTGATACATAATGCTAAGAAATAATGGACTCAGAGGAAGTATTTCTTTGGCATCATCTCTGAAGGCATGTCTTTTCTAACTGTTTTCTATATATCTATCCTTATAGACACAAGCAACTTTAGTTGTAACTCTCCAAAATCAACATCATATTACAGCAATATTTCAAAATTACACCCCTGCACAAACTACTATGTACTTACAATGTCATCTCTATGGCCACCTGATAAATCCATACAACTCAACATTTTTCCCAAATTCAGAAAATATGGTACTCAGTGCTAAAAAAAGCAATTCATTTGGGAAATCGGGTGTTATTCTGATGGGTTTGCCTTTATACGTCAATTGGCCTGGATCAGGCCGTCTGAATGGTTGAGACAGTTGATTGGCTTGATCTGTTTGGGAGGCATCCAGGCAGTGGGACCGGGTCCTGTGCTCATTGTATGGGTTGGCTGTTTGAAACCTGGGGCCTATGCAGGGTCCCTTGGCTCGGCCTGCGAGGAGGGGACTGGACCTGCCTGGACTGAGTCTACCAGGTTGATCTCAGTCCTCTGGGGAGGCTTTGCCCTGGAGGAGGTGGGAATGGGGGGTGGGCTGGAGGGAAGGTCGGGGGGCGGGAGGGGGAAGAACAAGGGAATCTGTGGCTGATATGTAGAACTGAATTGTATTGCAAAATAAAAAAATAAATAAAAAAATTGAAACGTAAAAAAAAAATTCATAATCCTAAGGAACAGGATTCCTCCTGTAGGAAAAGTATCTTCTAAGAAGGATGTCTAATTTTAAAGCCCAATGTTTAGAAAATATGAACACCAACCAAAAATATAATCCAAATAAAAAAGCCACCGAACAACGGTAGCAGCATGACGACACATATCATCATGCCAGCGCATATTGGAAATTCTCTGAACTCTACATACTAAGCAGAAAAGCTAATGAGAAAGGATGGATGCTAAGTAGGATAGAAGCAGTTTTTTTAACAATGACAGTGTGAGGCCTTTCAATTCCAGAAGGTCAAATATAAAAATGTTCATTTACCCTCACCACAGTCTCAACAAAGCATCATTTATTTCTGACTATATTTGTGTATGTGTGAAAAAATAAATTCTTTAAGAAGTAGTATTTCTTTTGGAATATCAGTTAGCTGACATGGTAATGCAGTAGGAAAAAGAAAGAAGAGTGGAATTATATAAATAATGTACACATGTGAGAAATGCCCAACTACACCAAAGATGCATACACATGTATGAATATGTATTTAGATACATACATATATATTTATACCTCTAAATGTGTGTCAGAAATAGGCACATTTACATACATATACAAAAATATTTATACTTACATAAAAGTAATTGACATGGTTCAACACATATCAGGGAGATATTGTGAAAACTGCAGACTTTAGACTATGAAGGGGTTTCAGAGTTTCTCTCAGATGTCAATAAGGAGTTATTTGGTTAACATCATGACCAAGAGAGCTCCCATCGTCCCCATTGCTGATTCACAAACCATTTCCAAACCAGGGTTAGACCTTCTAATATGATGGTGATAAGCTATTACTGAAGATCCTACATACTTAATTCATCTTAGAACAGATATCCTCATAAGAAGCTTCAGTGGGTACGACTACATGGAATACGAATGAAAAAAACTACTCTGACATAACTCCACCAAGAACAAAATGTCCCACATCTCATGAGCTACATGCCCTAAAACAGCATATGTTGAGTAGTTCTCTAATTTTTTTCTAATTTTGCCATCGTGGCATATATTTAATAGGAGTAATCAATTACTTGCAAGGATTACGATTAATTTCACAAGGTGAATAAATGTGTCCTACACTAATAAAAGAACCAAGAACCTGAGACTAGAATTGTCAGAGAACAATAACCATTATTTGCATCATTCAACTGGAGTCAAGTTGAAATAAAGCAAACCTGAAGACATAGTGATAAGCTGATAGATCTGGATATCACTTGACCCACCTCTTAGATATTTTTTTTGTATTAATAGGGAATTAAAACAATGGCATGCAGGGGACTCTTTCTATAGACCATTAGAGGCTTTGGGTAACTATGTTCTGATGTTTAATGCCTTTTTCATATAGCTGAACTAAAGCCCCACGTATCTGTGTCGAGAAGGCACTTGAGAGATTCTAACAGATTCAGAGCTGGGGGTCATTCTTTAATGACCATGTTTTCCCATCTCAACTCTCCTATCCCTCATGGAAGTTCAGAATGTGAGTTATCAGACACAAGATAAGGCCTTCAAGGGTTCTTAACATATAGAATGCCAGAAACAAGAAGAAAGGAATCTGGGCTCTTAATTACACTCAAGGGAACATGAAATACCTCACTGTCACAAGAAATAAATGACTTATTTCCAACAAAGTTCATGTCTTGCCTGACATCATAGAGAAAAAATGGGGTGACCAGGAAAAAAATCAGGTCAAAGATTTTCTATGTGTCATAAGTAATTGACAATGCCCACCAACATTAGAAAGTTGTACCTTTGAAACCCTAAATGGCAAAAGGATTATAACATGTAAATTTCATTTCAAGTAAAATTCTTTATTGTCCACCCAGAGACTCTAGTGACATAAAGGCTAGTGTCTGGAACAGTTACTGCTTGATACCTACAGCGAATCTACATAACTGGATAAAAGTGACAATAGCATAGCTATTCCCACAGTGGATCTCCCTAGGATAGGTAAGAGCAGGACTCTCTTTTTCTGTGCCAGGTAGTAAAGCCTGAATTGAATTATTTTCCTTGCTTATAATGCAATACTTTTAGACTGAGAATGGGATGTTTAAATAGAAGCTGTAGCTTCAGAAGCAGGATGCCTACTTGTTCCACAGGTGACAGGAGCAGGGAACTCAGAGCTGTGCTCCTGGGAATCAAACAATCCTGACTTTACTAAACTGCATGGGCTCTGTCTCCTGTAGATGTCAGGAGCAGTCTGTCCTTTCTGGGCCAATATAGAGTCGAGCTTTGGTTGTACCCAGGACCAACCGTGTCCTGGACTATAGCCAGAGCCTGACTTGTAAGAAGCCAAAACTCTGACACTTTTGTTAGCACTCCTTGCCTCTGATTGAAGGACTGTGTACATCAAATTGTGCCAGAAATAATAATCCTTAAGGACAATAATCACAGTTTCAGCAAAGGAGGCAAATTCTGTGCTTACCTTGGAGATCTCCATCAGAGAAGCTGTTTCATTTCTCCCTACCACCTAAATGTCTGTGTGCTGCCACTGAAGCAGCGAAATTGAAAGTGCGCAAGAGAAAAAACATGTAATTTGCTCTGGGCTCCGACTTCAATTATTTAAAAAAAAAAAAAGCCTGTGCCAACTAGGAGGTAATCATGTATTCTTTGTTTGGACCAAATTCTTGGCTACATACGTGCAACCCTGCATTTCTGCCAGCTGCTGATTGTGATTCTGTGCTGACGATTTCAGCTTGCTGCAGACAGTTTCTAATATGTCATGTCATTTCCTCTACTGCAATGATAGATTCTTGAATTTTATCACTCTAATACATATATTTCTGATATACACTATATATGTGTATATGTATACATATGTACAAGAATGACAAAAATAAGAGGCTACTTTGTAAATAGTAATGGTACATTTAGCCATATTAACGAACATAGGCAGTTTGTATATGCTATCTTACTGTGTCCTCATGATTATGTAATATTTTGAGATTTTGTTTTATAGTGTAATATTCATAATAATTATATAATTTTTACAATTTCTCCTTTCTATATGTGCAATTATGTGTGGTTCCACATATGTCTGCATGCATATAGCATTCATTTGGATTCAAAGTTCTGTAAATACTCACAAAAGTCTTTGCTCATTATTCATACACCAATATAGATATTTTGAAAATATTCCAAAATTCTTTGCATTTCCCCCAGTAGAATTCTGCTGTAAACATTATTATCAGTATTCTGTCCTTAGATCACATAGTTACTCTTTTTTGAATGATATCTGAGATCCGGGATTGCCCCTGTGTTTTCTTTTCTTTGGGGCCACCAATTAGAATATGGACAGACTCTCAAAGCTAAAAAAATACATGCGAAATCCTGCCTTTCTATCGTCATCACGACATTAAATATTATAGGCCACTCTGACAATATTTGTTTAATGATCTTTCTTCAGCATGTAGTAGAACATTGGTTTGCTTCATAAAGAAACAATTTTGTATGCACACTCACCTGATACAATGGTGCTAAAAAATCCATCAAATATCAGTTGCATGCACAGGAGTATTACCAATGTTAGACTGACAATGTGTTTCACACAAGGTGAGAATTTGACAAACATGTTAAACAAACTAGCCAGGAAAACTTCATGATATTACTCACATGACATATGCCCTGTGTCCTTTGGTTGGATGGTGATGCCTGGATGCTTGACTTTTCATATATATATATATATATATATATATATATATATATATATATATATATATATATATATATATATATAATCTGGAATTAGATCCAAGCTGCCAGATGGCAGATGGACTCTTCTACTGGGCTTTTTTATTAGAAGCAAATAAGTGAAAACAACATAAGAGATACTTGTCAAAGAACACACTTGTGTTCCCTAATGTAAGCAACTACTCGGTATCTTTCCATACCTATGAATTCGTGCTTGTACTCGTTCAGTTTCAGCACTGGATTTCAGAATGCTTAAATAAAACCTAAGCATATATCAAGTGTCTCTGTTTTTTTTTTTTTTCATCACAATAGATACTAAAAGTGATCAATTCTGAGGAGTCTCCTGTAAATAAAACTTGAAAATTCCATTAAATTACATTCTATCCTCATTCTTCTTGAAAATCTACTTTTCTAAACTAATTTTTATATTGTTTTGTTGTTAGAAACAGTCCACTGAACTATTAATATAGCAATTATTTTACTCAACATCATCATGCACTGTTCATAGGGAAATCACAGCTAACACAATGAAAAACATCCTAGCAGAATAGATGATTGCACTACCGCCTTTAAATGTAAAAACTTGTCAGGACTTAGCATATCCTAGGATATTATATGTCCTTGTTTCCCGCAAACATGGCTGATATTTCAAATTTTTTTAGATTAAAAGAAACATATGTCCTTGAAATGATGAAAAATAATTCCCCGTGTATTAACCTAGCCTGATACATGAGGCTAAGAAATAGGGAACCCAGAGGCACTCCTTCTTTGGCAACATCTCTGAAGGTATGTCATTTCAAACAGTTTTCTCTGTATCTATCCTTATACCCACAGTCAATTTTAGTTATAAGTCTCCAAAAAAGACATCATTTTACAACACTATTACAAAATTCCACACCTGCAGAAATGGCTATGTATTTACATTGTCATGTCTATAGCCACCTGATAAATCCACACAACTCAACATTTTTCATGGGCAAAAAAGATAAATATTTATTGAGAACAAATCTGAACATCTGGTCTTACATTCTAAGCCACAAGAAAATAGCAAAACTGCAAAGAGAAGACAAAAACTGAAAAAAGCAGCTTACTGTCTTTCACTTTAACTTGGTAACACTTAGTTGACCCAGGCCCTATCCCTTGGCCTGTTTCCCCAAGAACATTTTCCAGTTTACAGCTCACTCATGCTTCTGGGTTAAAACCACCTTTCTCCTGAGCGTCAGAGGTCAAAGGTTTCAAATCAGCTCTCTCTAACTTCTCTGGGGTTCCTAGTAGATGAGGCAGAGGTGTAAATGTAAAAGTCTGGCAAGTTTCTTTCCTGAGCACAACCATTTCTCACTGCTGACATTGACAGTGGAACATTTAAGATGTGGTACTCACTCCAAGGACTGATGCATGCATGCAGCTTGGAGTGTGTTCGCTGGTCCTTTCCCTAGGTCCCTTAATATGAAGTGGCAAGACAAGCTTCTCCTTCTGTTCTTTCAGGGGATGGTGTCTCAGCTTCATGCTGGGACCATCAGCCTGGAGAGAGACTTACTTGGCCCACCATTGTTGAGGAGACTGTTGTGAAGTGTGAGAGGTAGTGGGATGAGCACCAGGCATGGGGACAGTGGACTCTACTGTGGACAGTCTGAGGCACCACACCGCTGTTTACTTTGACCCAGTCATTTAACTTCGGATTCATTTCATCTGCTGGAAAACCAAGGGATTAATTTAAAACATCCTTCAGGGAGGCAGAGGTGAGAGGATCACTGTCAGTTTGAAGCCAGGCTGGTCCAGGAATGCTGCCAGTATCAAACCAGTCAGGGCTACACAGTGAGACCCTGTCTCAAATCAATACACAAAACAAAAGCAAGCTCCCCCAAAGAAAATGCAACAAAAACGACCTCTTGGGTCTTTCCCAGCAGAACTGCCTAGGCTCCACGATCCTACAGAAATAAGGCTTCTGAGCCACAATGAGCTGTCACAAAAGAGATAGTTTTCAGATTACACACTTCCAGCAACACGGTTTTCACAAATTTTCATATCACATAGAAGCCACAAATGAAAAGATCCCAGCGGAGAGCTGCACAAGGTAGGCACTCTAGACAGAGCTAGTCGACGACATTTTCAATTCAATAAACACTTGGTTGAATGCCTATCCAGCACTGGGCCCTGTACCCAGGGGATGAGGCATAAAAATGAGCAAGGCAGCCCGAAGGGCAAACATCTTCTGATGAGACGTGGATGAAGAGGGACTTAGTAAATTTACAGAGGCAGACAGGGTGTTGAAGAAAGTACCAAAACTAATGTAAAACAGAAGAAAAAAGGTGGTGGTGGTGGTGGGGGGACAGGCAACATATCTCATCTGCACACTACAGTTTTGAATAGTTCTTTTTAAACAGGATGAAAAGGAGCACACGTGGTTTTAAAAGGCATAGAGAGAATGTCTCTGTTAAGTTTTAGAAATATCTCCGTCGAAAAAGAGAAAAATGGTCTTAAAAAAAAAGTTTTGGCACTTAAGAAGGGTAACATGGCTGTGTGTTCACCCCGGCAGGCAGGCACACATTCAGCGCCCCGCCACGCCTGTGAGGTGATCTGCCACGGAATTTTGAGCTGCTTTGGGACACTGGGCAAACACGTGTCCTCTCTTGCCACAGAGGTTGCACATGATGACCTTCCTGCAGTAAGGGCTCTTGTGCCCCTCTTCCCCACACCTGTAACACCTGTCCTGCGTGCAGGTGCCAGTCATGTGGTTCTGAGAACCACATTTGAAGCAGGTCTTGGGCTGCCCCTTGTACCAACTGTAGCCCCTCTCTGTTCCCAAGAAGAAGGCCCCAGGCAGGTGCCTCAGTCCACCCTCCCCCTGGCGCAGCTCGATCTCGCACTTGTACTCCCCAGTCCAGATCCCAAACCTGTCAGTCACTTTCATTGGCAAGGCCAGCACATCGCAGTGGCGCTTGAGCCAGGTCACGATGTCCTCCACATTCACGGTCTCATTCTGGAAGAGGATGAAGAGGGTCTTCAAGCTGGACTTGCTCCGCCCCAACACCACAAAGTTCTCCCAGCAGTCGTCCAGCTCCCGCTTTTCCTCATAGATGCGGAGAAACCGGGCAAGCTTGTCTGCAGATCTGAAGCTCACATCGAACTCGCAGCTGCCGGGGATCTGGATGACAGCATAGATGTCCCCGGGGTCCATGCCGATGGAGCGCAGGATGAGCGCACCCACCACGAAATCCCGGGTCGGACAGGCACTCTCTTCTCCCTGGAAACAGATGCGCACAAGGAAGCGGCCCTTACCCGGCCTGGCGGCTGGAGGCTCATCCTGGAGTGGGCGCCCTGCAGTTGCGTCTTTGGTCGCGCCAGGCCTGGCAGGGGACGCCATGGCCGCCGCTGCCACCGCCACCTGGGCCATCTTCCTCTGATTCGCGTCTCCAGCTCCCTTCATCCTGCAAGCTTCTGCCGCGTAGCCCGCAGGGTCTCTCCCGCAGCCCCTTGGGTCCCCGCGGCCGGCAGGTGGGAAGTTGCCGGGGTTCGGAGCGGCCAGGCCCGCGGGGCTGCCCAGCCTGCCGCCTGCACCTCTGCCCCTTTCTTCTCCCCGCCACTGCTCGCGGAAGTCGTGCTTCTTCTCCGCCAGGTTCTTTACTACCTGCGCCCAGCCCATCTTCTCTCCTGTGCCCTGGGCTTCCTCAGCCTGGGCCATAGGCTGCGCGGGGAGCGGCATCTGCAGCCGGCCCCGCTGCAGATCCTCCGCGGCTCTGCCACCTGTCGCCATCTTGCCTCTTGTCAGATGAAAATCTGGGTTTTTTCAAAAGTAATTTTTACATTGTTATGTGCTTAGAAATAGTCCCCTGGACCATTAGTATAGTTATTATTTTACTCATCATCATCATGATGGACTGTTCATATCAAAATCACAGCTAACACAACTGATGATTGTACCACCGCATTTAAATATAAAGCTTATCAGGACTTAGAATATCCTAGGGCATTATATCCTTGTTTCCCGCAGACATGACTGAATATTTCATTTTTTTTATTAAAAGAATCATATACCATTTAAATGAGGAAAACTAATTCCCAATGCATTAACCTGGTCTGATACATAAAGTCTAAGAATTAGTGAACCCAGAGGCACTCCTTCTTTGGCAACGTCTCTGAAGGCATGTCATTTCGAACAGTTTTCTATATATCCTTATATCCACAGGCAACTTTAGTTTTAAATCCCCAAAAAGACATCATTTTACAGCATTAGTACAAAATTCCATACCTGGACATATTGCTATGTACTTACAATGTCATGTCTACAGCCACCAGATAAATCCACACAACTCAACATGTTTTCTGGGCAAAGAAAGTGTGGTACTCAATGCTAAGATGTAATTCAACATCCTAAGGAACAGGATTCCTCCTGTGGAAAAATTGTCTTCTAAGAAGGATACCAAATTTCAAAGCCCAATGTTTAGAAAATATGAATATCAACCAAAAATAAAATCCAAAGTAAAGAAACAACCAAACAAGGGTAGCAGCATGACAACACACATCTGCATGTCAGTGTGTAGTGGAAATTCTCTAGGCTTGACACACTAAGCCGAAAAGGTAAGAAGAAAAGTTGGATGCTAAGATAGATAGATATAGGTTATTTAAAAATGACATTGTGAGGCTTTTCAATTTCAAAGGTCAAAAATAAAAATATTCATTAATTATCTCCACATTCTCTACCATGCATCATCTAGTTCTGACTGTATTTGTGCATGTATGAAAAAATATAAATTCACTAAGAAGTAGTATTTCTTTTGGAATATCCTGGAGCAGACATGGTGCTGCAGGAGGAATAATATAGAAGAGTGGAATTGTATAAGTACAGTACACATGTGAGATTTGCTCATCTACATCAAAGATGCATACACATGTATGCATATGTATTTTGATACATGCATATATATTTCTACCTCGAAATGTGTGTCAGAAGCAGGCAAATATAAATGCACATACAAAACCATTTATACATATATGAATATAATTGATATTGTTAAACACATACCATGGAGATATTGTGACAACTGCACATCTTAGACCAAGAAAGGGAATCAGTTTTCTCTCAGGTATCAGTAAAGAGTTATTATTTGGTTATCTTCTTGGCCAAGGGGCCTCCCATAGTCTCCCCCCATTGATTCACAACCATTTCCAAACCAGGGTTACACCTCCTAATATGATGGTGATAAGCTGTTATTGAATTTCCTACATACTTTATTCATCACAGAGCAGATATCCAATGGCTCCTCATTAGAAGCTTCAATGGGAATGACTACATGTGATAGGAATGAAAACTACTCTGCATATAACTCCAGCAAGATCAAAATGTCTCATACTCATTAGCTACATGCCAAAAAACAGCACATGTAGAGAAGTCTGCTCTTTTCCTACTTTTGCCATAGTACCTATTTATAATAGGAGTAAACAATTACTTGCAAGGATTAGGATTAATCCATGAGTTGAATAAATGCCCGACACTCCTAAAAGGACCAGGAAGCTGAGACTAGAAATGTCCGAGTCCCATAAATATAATTTCTCTCATTCCACTGGAGTAAAATTGAAATAAAATGAGTACTGAAGATATAGTGATAAACTAACAGATCTGATTATCACTTGACATTCATGAGAGAAATTTCATCTTGTATTAATTGGGAATTAACACAATGATATGCCAGGGACTCTTTCTATGAAACAGTATAGGCTTTGAATAACTATGTTATGATGTTTAGTGCCTTTTTCATATAGCAGAACTAAAGCATCATGTATCTATGTTGAAAGGGTACCAGAAATATTCTAACAGGTTCAGAGCTGAGATATCATTCCCTAAAGATCATCCTTTACAATCTCAACTTTCCTATCTGTCAGAGAAATTCAGAATGCGAGTTTTCAGACACAAGATAAGGTGATCACAGGCACTAAAATATTTTCTATGTGTCAAAAGGAATTGGCAATGTCCACCAACATAGAAAGTTTACCTGTGAGTCCCTAAATGGCAAAAGGAGTATAGGAAATAAATTTCATGTGCTAATACTTATTGTCCATCCAGATACTCTAATGACAGAAATGCTAGTGTCTGGAACAGTTATTGCTTTATACTTTCAGTGACTCTAGGCAACTGGATAAAAGTGACAATACCATAGCTATTCCCACAATGGATCTCCCTGGGGTAGCAAAGACCATGACTATCTTTTTCTGTGCCAGGTATTAAATCCTGAATTGGATTATCTTCTTTGCTTATAATGCAGCACTTTTAGACTGAGACTGGGATGTTACATCTTTAAAGAGGAGCTGTAGCTTCAGAAGCAGGATCCCACTTGATGAACAGGTGACAGGAGCAGAGGACTCAGAGCTGTGCTCCTGAAAATCAAACAATCCTTACTTTTCTAAATGAATGGGCTCTGTCTCCTGTAGATATCAGGAGCAATCGGCCTTTTCTGGGCCAAGGTAGAGTCGGGCTTTGGTTATACCCAGGTCCAACTGTGTTTTTGAATATTTGAAGTACCTGTGACACTTTTATTAGCAGTCCTTTCCTGTGATTGAAGAACTGTATGCATTCAAATTGAGCCCGGAATAAGAATGAATGAGAACAATGATCTCAGTTCCAGCAAAGGAGGCAAATCCTGTGGTAATCTTAGAGATCTCCATCAGAGATGCTGTTTCCTTCCTCCTTCCCACCTAAATAAATGTCCGTGTGCTGCCACTGAAGCAGCGAAATTGAAAGTGAGGAAGAGGAAAATAAAAGGCAATTTATTCTGGACTAAGACTCCAAGTATGAAAAACAAAACAAAACAAAACGAAACAAAACAAAACAAAACAACCCATGCCAACTCGGAGGTCATCATGTATCCATTGCTTGGTCCAGATTCCTGTCTACATAAAAGCAACCCTCCCTTTCTGCCTGCTGCTGGCTGATCATGATTCTGTGCTGAGGACTGCAGCTTCCTGCTAACAGTTTCTGATATGTCATGTCATTTTCTCTACTGCAATGATAGATTCTTGAATTATACGACTCCAATAAATATATTTCTGATATTTATGTACATATATACAAATATATATATTTGACCAAAATAAGATGCTATTTTGTAAATAGTAATGGTACATTTAGCCTTATTCTGAACATAGTTTGGATACAGTATCTTACTTGGCCTAATGATTATGTCATATTTTGAGGTGTTTGTATTATAATTTAATATTCATGATCCTTGTATACTTTTTATAATTTATCCTTTGTATTTATGCATTTATGTGTGGTTTTACATATGTCTGCATGCATGTGGTGTTAATTTTGGATTCAAAGTTCCATAAATACTCACAAAATTCTTTGATCATTTTCACATACAAATACAGATATTTTGAGAATATTCTAAACTTCTTTGCATTTCCCCTAGTATAATTCTGCTTGAATAATCATTACCAATACTCTGTCTTTAATTCATACAGTTATTTTCTTTAGCATGACATCTGAGTTCAGGGAAGCCCCTGTGTTGAATTTATTGTGGGGCCATCGATTAGAACATGTGCAGACTCTCAGGAAAATTCTGCCTTTCTCTCTTCAACAGTATATTAAGCATTATAGGACACTCTGACAATATTTGTTTAAAATGATCATGCTTCAGCATGTAGTAGAACATTGGTTTGCTTCATAACAAACAATTATGTATGCAAACTCAGCTGATGCAAGTGTGATAAAAGATCTATCAAATATTAGTTGCAAACACAGTTGTATTAGCAATGTCAGACTGACAGTGGTTTACACAAGGAGAGAATTTGCCAAACATTTTAAACAAGCTGGCTAGGCATACTCCATGAAATTACTCACACAATATATCCCTCATGTACTGTGATTGGATGGTGATGCCTGTATGCTTGATTTTTCATTTATGTTTTCTGGAATTAGAACCCAGGTAATCATATTTACAAGCATCCAGTTTGCTGATGGAGGCTTCTACTGGGCTTTGTCAATTAGAAGTAAATAAGCTAAACACAACATAAGGGATATTTGTCAGAGAACACACAGTTGTTCCCTAATGTAAGCACCTACTCAGCATGTTTCCTTATCTATAATAGGTGCTTGTACTCACTGAGTTTCAACATTAGATTAGATTAGATACTTAAATTTCAAACAATAATTTGATCTCAAAAAATATCCTAGAAGATGAAGACTAAAGGATAGAAAGTTGTAGGACACTCTGAATTTTGAAAAATATATATATATATATGACATGGTGAGGGATATAAACTAAATGTTGAATGAATGAAGAAGGGACTAATGTGTTCATCATGAAAATAAAGTAACATATGATACTCCTTAACCCATTAGGTATATTCACATAAATAAGCATGAACCCAAATAGTTTGATCTGACTAAACACCTGCTTGTGCTGAATGGCAACTTTGTTTTGAGGGAAAAAAAAAGAATGCAAGATACAAATTCATGCAAGACAAGTATCCCAGATGATCCAGCTTCACAGAATGCCTGTTGCATTTTCTCCAAAAAAACTACATTGAAGACAACTTCAAAGGTTCTACCTGGATGTGCCAGCCTCTCAGACTACTCTTACCCAGACTTTAGTTAAGTCCTGCACTTTTTCTCACACAGAGACTGGTCAACAAAGTATGTAGTAGCTCTCCCAAGACCTGATCATTATCCCAGTTTGATCAGGGCCCCTAAACATGCCGTCACCATACAATGCAGAATCTAATTTTAAAAACACGATGGCCACATACCTGACAGGTAGAATGGGAAGTTTTTGGTCGCTATGTGCATTATGGATATTTTTTGTTGGTTTGGTGTTGGTTGCAAGTGTTTATTGTTCATGGTAGGGAGCAAACTAAGGAAAGGAAGACAGATTTAGGAATCTCTTTCTGAAGATAGTGGGGGGAGCACATATGAATGATAGGATAAAAGGTTAGATTATTAAGTCTACCTTTAAACTAATAAGGATGTATTTGTCTCAAATATTTTATATTGGTGTGGATTTTTGTTTCATAATAAAAACTTAAGGTTATTTTTCTTACAACATACTGTATATATGTTTCTGCCCTTGTTTAAAATATTGAAAATAGGAAGCACATTTAGAAATGTAACATAAATTCTAGACCTTGAAAGGTACTATTATAAACTGCTCAGGAAAATTAAAATGTAGGTTATTAGTTAGTCACCTCTAACAATCAAACTTGTGTTCATGTTATGTATGTTTTCAAGGTTAAACAGAGATGTATTTTACATAGATAGTTCATCTATAAATACATGAGAGATCTACAGAATATGACAGTTAAGATATTTTAATAAAATAAGGCTTTTCAGGACAGTGATATATGCCTGCTCATGCAAGTACCGTTATACTACCGAGAAGCTGATGGGCATCAATGAACCACCAAATCAAGGTTGCTTTCAATGTGACAAAGGTAGCCACTGGGAAAAAAAAAACTACTTTTGCCTTGCCTGTGGACAGTATGCTGTCCAAATTAGACACAATGGTCACAAGGCAAGTCTACTGCTGAACTTTGTCAAGACGAAGTAGTGCAGTCCTACAAAATTTCTGCCTCACAGAAAATTCTGTCAGATATTCTGGGCCTGTAAGGTAAAGACAAATTCTTTAATGTTTCATAGGAAACTTGGATAACTGTCTGAGCAGTCAGCTGACTCTGATTTCCATAGTTGTGGAAGTTGCTTGTTCTGCCCTTCCCACTTACTGAGGTAATATTCTAACATTCTCAGGTCTCTATATGGTTTGAAGACTAGAGACATATAAAAATGTTAAGATGTTTAAGTAAGAAAATATT